AAATTAATACTTCTACCTTCCTCCATATGACAAGGAATACCGTGAAAATATAATCAAAAACATAAAATTCTAGTAGCTACTAGTCGAAAAAAAATTTCTTTCACCTGTTCGAAGTTTTTCCTCTTCTTTTTTTTTTTTTTTTCTTTCCTCGTCTTTTTTTTTTTTTTATTATTATTATTCCTCTCCAGAGACATCTGATGTTTTTGCTTCTCTTTTCCATATTTATTTTCTTCTTGTTTTTGAGGTATAATAAAATAATAGAGACAAAAATAGCCACACACGAGGTATTGAAGAAAAAAAAAAGGGGAAAGGAAAAAAAAGATAACAAGTCTCTCTCATCAGCAGTATTTCATGAGCGTCTCGGCATGTTGGAATCAACTACTCCCAGAGAAGCCACAGCCGAGTTCTGCTGCAAGTACTACAAGCCACAGATTCTCAGCGAGGAGGGTTCGTCACTACAAGATAAAAGATGGAGATCAACAGGAAAAGACTGAAAGCAAGAACACAAATAATAATAATAATAATAATAATAATAATAATAATAAAAGTATTGGGGAAGAGGGTGAAGTGAAACAGGCTTCCAGTATTACAGTAAATGATTGGGAGTTGGAAGCTGTCCGTCGATACAGAGCACTACAGAGTCATGAAGGAAATATTTCTTTAGAATATAATGACATTTCATCCAGTAGTACTCATAGTACTCTTCTACAGTTAATTTTACACTCCAAACTTGTTCCTATTATAGACTGGCATGAGTGTGCAGATAAGGTGGCGAAATGGTTTCAAAATCCTACTGCAGCTCCACTCACATTGCTCTCTTATACCATCACTCAACTTGTTACCACACATCAATTAACACCTCATAGTGCTGCCAGATGGATTTTAGATCTATGCAAAGCATTATTACTAGAAGTAACAGATACTAATTCAGAAATACCTGATATGGTTGTGGCTTCTGATTGGGTCTTTGCAGAGGAACTTCAACGATCTGTATATTTATTGCAACAACAAGAAGAAGGAGGTGTTTCTCTTTTTCAGAATTTTTCCTCTATAGTGCTTGATACAGTGATAACTGAGATTCTTCTTCATACAAATGGAACAGAGATGTGTAGACTGTTACCTTTTTGCTTTCTACTGAAACGCAATAAAGCATTTGCGCTATCGGCATGGAAGAGTAATGAACAGCAGTATAGTACACGTATGCAGCGTGTGTGTGAGGTGGGACGCGAACTCCCACCACATCTCGCTGTAGTTCTCAGTGTAGTAGTGTAAATAGTGTTTAAAAAAATAAATGGGTGGAATAAAGCGGGGGTGGGAATGAATAGTTATTTATTCCTGTGTTTTCCATGTTTTTTTTTCTTTTTTTTTCTTTTCTTTCTTCTTGGGTTAGTTTATATACGTATCTTCTCTTAAATGTTGTAGTTGGTGGTGCGACGCCACAGATAAAATTGCGTTCTGTTGCCTTCTGTCCAACTAAAAACAATAAATAAATACAAGTTCAGAGTTTATTATTGAGATGTTTTATTTTTATTTTTTATTTTTTTTTTCTGGTTTTTTTTTTTTTTTTAGTTGTTTCTACAGATATCTGTTTCGACTGGCTGTTATGAATAGAAATAGTTTGGAAGTGTCAGGTGAATATAGATAACAAGTTTTTTTTTTTTTTTTCTCTTTTTATATTTCTTTATTTGGGTCTCTGCACTCTCACTGATATGGCATTGATAGTAGTACTAATAATAATTCTTTTCTATTTTATTTTATTTTTTTCTTACTCAACACATAAATACTATTTCTTTTTTCTTTCTTTTTCTTTATAATCAAACAATTGAATGAATCAGGAGGGTGTGACTTCTATAGAGGAGAAGGTATAGAAAAGAAAGAGGGGAAAAGAAAAAGAACACTTCATATATTAGGATGCCTGCACAAACTGCTGAGATAGAAAGTAAGATTAGACTTCGAACAGCCTTAAATGGTATTTGCAAACAGGCTGAACTCATCCTTTTAATACATTACTTTCAGAAACTAAAAGATTACGCCCGATTTAGACAACAACAAACACATTTAAAGAGATGTGCTGTTCTCTTAAAGCATCAGGATATTAAACGAACAGTAACGAGTCATTTTCTTCGTTGGCTCAGTCAAACACAGCGGCAAACAAGTATTCGGGCAGGACAACGAGAGTTAACAAAGATTGCTGTTCTTCCACGGAATCAAGACTTTATTAATTTGGGTATTAAATATTTACGGCGATGGCGTCTTTGGCTTAGACGATTACGACAACGCAAGTGTAGAAATGTGATACTACTTCTAAACAAAACAAAAGAAAGAATAACACATCAGGTGTTTAACGCATGGGAGTGTTTCCTATTCAAACGGCAAAGAGAGAGACTGGAGATAAACGTACATCATCTTGAGGAACACAATAACAAACTCTCGGATAAAATACTTCATTTAGAAGATAAGGTACAAAAACAGGAAAACACTATTGATCATCTTCATAAGGATGCTGAAAAGCTTCGACAGCAGATAATAGTTCAACAAGAAGAAATGGAACAACTCCATAAGGTAATAGAAGTAGTTATTGAAAGACTTGACAAGCCGAATGGAAAGAAAACAAATCTTCAAGGACAACATGCCGCAGAAGAAGCGGCACATCGTGGTGATAATAAACCATTACAATTACTAAATAATTGTGAATCTATAATAAGAGCACTTGAAAAATTACGAAATACACTTCCTCCTGAGAAGCAACGATTAGAAGGGTTTGAAGCTGTATTGGAAGCGGCATGTATTCACACTGGTGAAATAGGAATATCAGTAAAGGAATTAGATAAGGAATTCTCTGGTACCAAAAATTTAGCAATATTTTTGCGTGATTTTATTAAAGAAGGTGCAGAAAAAATGATGATGATGGCACATCATGAAAATATGTCTGAACCACCATCATTACGGACCACTGTTGAAGGAATCCAACATCCTTTATTTCATCAGGGTAATAAAAGTACGTTGTCAGGTTCTTTAGATGGGAAAAAAGATCCTATGGAATTCATGAGAGAATCATTATTGCAGGAGGAACATTTATTAGATTCTAATGGGCCATCTATATCTACTGTACTGCAGTCATTTCATGAGGCACTAACGCAAATGTATGAAACTCTGATGAGATGTGAAGATCTCTACGTGGAGCAACAGGAAACTGTAGAAAAGGAAGGAGAGAAGGCAAGTGTATTAGCTGCGGCTGCAGAGGATGCTGTTAAGGTGTTAAGAAACTGGCCTTTTGAATCTAAAGAAAGTTTAAAAATAAAACCAAAAGAAGAAAAAGAAAAAATAAATGAAGTGGATTCATTAGCAAATAGTTTGAGTCGAGAAAGTGTAATGGCTGCTAATACCCTCTCACATTTGCGGAGTATATTAAATACGGAAACACTTTCACTAAGTAGATCATGTAATAGTAGTAATTCCTTTGATTCACATAATGACAAACTTGTAGTTGAGCAAAAACCTATTATTATGTCATATGATGATCTTGTGAATACTGTTAAACATTTACAAGATTCTCATAAAGAATTGGGTGAAGCTTACGAGAAAATTTACATGGAATTTCGACGCTATGCCCCGGATTCATCTCTTGAATCTATTGCTAACAACAGCAGTACGACTAGCTACAGTAATAACCATAATAATAGCCGCGCCAAACATGTCACTTTTGTAGAGCCTTCTAAAAGTGAGAAGGAAGATATAATAAAGAAAACTGAATTAGTTGTTGAAGCTGTTCGAAAACATATTCAAAATAAAGGAAAAGAAGTAAAGGTACTTCGTGGGGCAATGCGAAAAGGTATTGAAGCTCTTGGTGGTTCTGCTGATGACTTGGAAACAGATGATGAGAGTGTAGAAGATGAGAAGAGTGCAGCGAAAAGTGCGGCTATTGGATCAAAACTCAGTTTACTATGTAATGAGACTGGTGAAGCTATTAAAGATGCCAAGACGGTATTAGGTATTTCAGAAGAAGGTAAATTAAAACTTTCTGATATGATTCCAAACCTTAAAGATAAAATGCAAGAACTGGAGCATGTAAAAACAGAATCTGAAATACTAATGAAAGAAGTACATCATGTGCTAAGTGGAGATTCAACACAGCAAACAGTAAGTCTTCTACGAAATTTAAAACCAAAGCGTAAACCCATGGCATTATTCGTATCAATGGAAGAACCAAGCCATAGTATTACAAGATCTCTTAGACTTGAATCTACAGAAATAGGATCACCTCTTACATCTCAAAATAATTTGAAACCAGGAGATCTTATAAAGGAATTACGTAAAGAAATATATAAAAAGAGTGGAGAAATAAATGATTTACGTGATGCATGTAGATTAATTATTAGTCTTCTTGATGGAACGTATGTTTCTGATACTGAACCACCACAGTATGGTGAAATGCTTGTACCACTTCTCATTACTCAAGTTGAAGATTTAAAACGTTCACGTAAACAAATAGTACATATTATCTCGGATGATATTTGTAATAGTAGTGTTGGTAATCAACTGATAACATTGGCATCACAGGTGGAGTCTTTGCGTTTAGGAAATATTTCACTAAAAGATGAACTTGATCAAGGTACCAAACAGAGATCTCACTTTATGAAAGATTTCACAAAGGAGAGTACCCAACTCAAAGAACTGAATACCAAATTACAGAAAAAGTTAGATGAGATGGAAAAACAATCTCAAACGCGAGAACAGGTTCGACGATTATGGGCAGAGAGAGTCGTGGAATTAATGTCGCTGCGAACCGTAAAAGAAGATATGCGGCGTTGGTTCTTATTATGGTTGGGACACATTGCGGTTGTGCGGGGAACAGCCGTGCAGGGGGCCGCTGATGTGGAGCGGAAATTATCTCTTGAGATTGTGCGGAAACAACATCAACAAAACCTCCTCGCCACTGTACTCGCCAGAGCCTTGCAGGCACTACCAGGTGAGGTGCATACATTAGATATATCATCTATGGATCTTATTTGTATGGTGGAAACAGATGGAAAAGAACTTGAGACTTTTGTGGAAAAACATGTAAATGCCGCACAGGTTTGGTTCCGTAGAGTGAATACAACACTCCCAACAGTCATCGCAGCTCTTCGTGCAGATACCGTTGCCCTTCGAGAGAAAATCACCACCGCATGGAGTGAACAGCTCTCTTTAGGGTATCGTCCACTCTTGAGAGAGGCTTATATATCCCTCACAGCGACGGATGAGAAGGATAGAGAGATGGAGTTTCTGCGAAAACGTGTCCTGGATCGTGAGGCGTTTGCACGTGCTAATAAAGAGTTGGCGGGGGAACTTGTAGAGATAAAGGATCAGTTAGCACTCGCACAGGAACATATTATTGCGCAGAATGATAAGATTAACAAACTACAGCAGGAGAACAGAGATTTTCATCTGAATAACGTGATCCACGAAAATACATACAATGGCAATAGCAATGGCAATAATAATAATAATAATAATAATAATAATAATAATAATAATAATAATAATAATAATAATAGTCATCATAATATCTCTGGTGTATCGAATAATCACCCAGACCGTCTTCGTGAAAACGCGGACGCCAAACGCGCCATGATCGCTGGAGCAAAACGGTTAGCGTTGGAGGCCATTAACGCTATTTCAGGAAAAGACTTGGCGATGTGCATTGGAGAAGTAGCTGAACTTACACTGGATATGTATCGCCGCACCACTGCCGCACTTGGGGATATTTGTGATGCTTGGCAGATGACTCCAAATATGTTTTCTGAATTAATACAGTTGCGATTGCAGGAACTTCAGGCTTTACATGATCTGCGGAATGATATTGTGGCACGTCTACCTGAATTGCTCCGTATACCGTACATTGACTAGACTATGTTGAGTGATTTTGTTTGTTTTGTGTATGTGTATGAGAGAGAGAGAGAGAGTTTTTCTTTTCTGTCTTTTCTGATATTATTCCATTCTCATTATGGAGGAATTATGATTCTTTATTATTATTATTATTATTATTATTATTATTATTATTATTATTTTTGGGGCGGGGTTGAAGAGGAATGAGCGGAAAATGTGTTGCATCATAGTTGACAGATAAATCTGTACTGTACATTTTTTTGTTTTTATTATTATTATCTCTTGATGGATTTTTCTGTATAATTCCTTTTTTTTTCTGTTTATTTGCGATATATTACCCTTTTTTTTTAGTTTTTTTGTTTTCCAGTCTTAATTTGTTTGTTTTTGCTCCTTCCAACCTGCTCTGGTATTGTGTATACTCATTTTATGTGAAGAAATAATTCCTATAAAACCAATAAAAGAGGAATGACAGGGGGGGAAAAAAAAGAAGAAAATTCACTCTTGATAGATGGAGACAGTAATAACAAGAAGGAAACACTCAAAGAAGAAGGAGAGAAACCAAAAAAGAAAAAAAAGAAAAAGAAAAATTCTGTTGCTACCGCTCTCTGAAGGAGATAGTGAAACAAGTGTGAATAAAATTGGTGGGTTAATTAATTTATTTTTGGATTTTTTGACGGGGACTAAATTAACGGTTAAAATGACATTTCCATGAGTAGAGAGTATTCTGCGTTCATTCATTGTACTTATGCAAATAAAATTATTGCACATAGTAAGAAGGTTTTTAGTGCTCTTTCAGCTGCTTATATGGAAACCATCTGGATGTGGGGATCACCTTTTTTTCCAAAACAGAAAAAAAGAAAATCCTGTACTTTCTGTATTTATTTTACTTTTTTGTTTCTTTTTTTTATATATAAATAAATAATATATATATTTATATTTATATATATATATGTTTATGTCTCTGTAAATTAGAAAGAAAAGTCTGAGGTGATTATCACGATTGAGCGGGTTTATGGAGACTAACAGAAATTATCGAAGACGTTGTCTTTTTTTTATTATTATTATATTAAATAACAAACAACAAAAAAAGAATAGAAGATCTATATATATATATATATATATAATCTATCTTTGAGATAAAATAGTGATCCAGTAAAAACAGTATTACAGATAATAATGAACCTTTTTTTTTTCTCTTTTATTTCTCTTCTGGCTTCTCTTGTTAAGAGTGTCTCCTTTTAGTGAGAGCTACAAAATTCAAAAGATTTACGTCATTTAGTAACCCACAAGAACACTAAATCGAAAAAAGAATATATATATATATATATATATATATATATATATATATAAAAAAAAAAAAAAAA